GTCTTTACGGAATAAATTAGCTAGGGATGCCGCCTTCCCATGATGTACTATCTCAGGATTTCAGCGGAGCTGTTAAAAATGATGTAGGCCTACTGTTCACTGTACCGCATGGACAATTACGTAGTTGGATTGTGGCCCCGGTACAAATGGTTGAAAGATGCGTTGGACATTGTCTGTGCATGGATGATTGGGGTGATTCGTTAAGCCATCTCTTCATGTGCATTAAATGCTCAGGCAGACAGTAAAATTAGTAGGTATTATGTCCCCTGTCCAAGGCTGTCTCTGGGCCGAGAGAATTGAGGGTAACAAGCGCACACCACGCCAAACGGGCCACCACATTGTCATGGCATAGTAATTCCTGGACGCGTATTTTCATTTACACCGTAGTCTAAGGTATTTTGTTGTGGGGCCATTGGCCCATGAAAAGAGTGCTCAGTACGTATGCGTGCGAGCATTCGGATTTAAAGTATAGGGACGGAAACATGACATACATGTATATCGCCGTTGTCAAGAAAGTCCAAAGGATTGCAGTAGGCCTACATGTCACTAAAACTTGGAGGACGGCTCGTTATTGCAAAGCTTTGCTGCTGGTAAGTGTCATGTGAGAGCTCCGCTTGCAGTCTTGGTACGCTATGCACAACATGAACAAACCGAACGTTAACTCACGCGACCCGACTTTCATTGAGTCTTTCAGGCGTCGTTTCCGTTTTTCCATGCTTCAAATGCATACAGGCAGTGGGGCAATTAGCAGGATTCGAATATTGCATTTTTCTTTGCTGTACTATAGGCCTATAAATAATTTTTTATATTAGGAGTCTTTTACCGGAGGTATGTTAAGCATTAATAACGAGCTGTCGGATTATTTGACTCCGCAGTAATTTACGTGTAAGCTGACCAAGCCTAGAGGAAATGACATCTCTGTGGCCAAACTGCTCCTTTTTCATCTCGTCTGAATACAGAACTGACGACCAGACACTTTGATCCTTGTCCCGGTGCCTTCTGGCAAATGTGAGTTGACCTTTTCGATGGCTGTAAGGAGGGGGTTCTTTCTGGGACCATGGCCCATGTAGCCCTTCTAGTGTGCAGCGGATTGTCTGCAGCTGCGCTGAAACGTTGGTGCCCATCTCACCCAAGTTGTCCTGAAGTACCTTGACTGTTGTTAAGGGTTGGAAAGGGCCTTGTCGCACACTTTCCCAACCAGAAGAAAAGACACCTTCAGCTTCCGTTCTTGCTTGCCGATGCTTTTCACAGTTTTGAATTTCGTGAACTTCTTGATGATGCTCTGTACAGTGCATAGAAATTGGTAATAGCTTATAGCCTTTCCCATCTTTGTGGGCATTCGCAATGCTCATGCGGAGATAATTGCTGAGCTCCGTAGTTTTCGCCATGTTCACAATATGACAACTGAGGAAAACTTTACGATTGCACTTTAATTTATACTCCGGAAGCAGGGTAATGACAATCCACAAATCAATTGCAATAAACGAAATTATTTACATTTTCCTAGAGGATGTATGCACTGTTGCATAATTATATTCAAAACAACATGCAGGTTCTTAGGAATTTCTAGAGTAAATGCATTTCGGAGGAAAGGTGTCCACCTTCCATTCTTTAGAAAAACACAAACAACTTAAAATTTATAATGGGTGTTGAATAATATTGTTTATGTGCCACACAGTTTCTTGGGCGATCCAGCGGGATTGAATATTATCCTTTGTTTTGTTTTAAATGTTTAAATGCTGGGAACTAGCGGAATGGGGGGGTGTGGGGCTGACAAGGGGTGGGCACTTACACCAGGGGGGCAATGTTCACATTACATAATAAAATTCAGATGCACATCTTTTCGTTCCTTGAGAACCTCACAGTAAAACAGCCCGTTTGTGGCCTCATTAGCTTCTCTCTTTTTTAGTGCTCCTGCTACGTTTGGGTTGTTAGAAAGTCCGAGGAATTCTTCACTCCCGCCGTCTTTTCAATAGTCCCAGAAATCCTTCCTTTTTGTGGGGCAATTGTTCCCGTCCACACCGGCTATAATTCCATGCATGGGGCCAAATTACCTTATGCTCTACCTCCTTTCTTCACTAGCACCCCCTCCAATTGTCCTGCCTCCTTTTCTATCCTTGCAGATCTCTTCAACCACAAACATCGGGACAATACACGTCTTACCATCAGCAGCCCTAGCGAACAGCAGATCTGATTTAGCAGTCGTTTATTGATGCCACCAGACGCAGAATATTGCGCAGCGTCCCCAAAGTTTCGGACTACTCCAGTGTGCATCATGGTCACCAATACACACATGTCCAGACTGGTAAGGTTTTCTCTTTAGTTTTGTTTAAGTACCCCCTTTGCGCATCTAATCAGATGAACAATGTCGTCAATCCCCGCTTTCGAGCGAACATGAAGACAGTTGTTGAGCTCGCCAAAAATTGAAGCCTGCGCAAGCTTTCCAAACAGTTGCTAGTATTGCCACAACTGCTTTTGTTACGGTTTCTAGACCATTTGGAAGGACGTTCACAGCGGGGAGGGGGGCCTTCACGCTGATGTGGGGGGGGGCTGGCTGGATGTTGGACATATACATGTACATAATCGTGATTATATTAGGATATGCAAGTGGGGGGGCTACTGGGGGCGACAATACTTCATAGGGGCGTACCCCACCCCTCATGAGATATAGATGCAAACTACACCATTTCATTAGAAAACCCGCCGACATCCTTGGCATGCTTGTCTCAGAATGTTTGCACAGTTGCCCCGTAACACGGCCCAAGTGCAAACCCTTGACGCTGGGCGTGAAACATTCTGTCTGCGTATTTGCTCAGGTCACTCGTTAAAGGAAGAGTGGTCATTAAATCACGTGCTTCGAGATTCGAGAAACATTTTGCTCAATTAATTGGCTATGAAAGAAAAGATGCTATCATACCACCTTGACGCACTTGTACATGTACAAGTATATGATGGAGCGATATGATCCGTACAGGGTCTTATAGTGTGGGATATTTATCCACGAAGATTACATCTTCCCTTCAAAGAAATTAACAATAACAACAAGCTTCAAAAGAACGAAATTTAGGCCTATACTTTACTATTCAAAAATAGAGAAATAGTCAAAAAGTATAGAACTCCTACACTGAGCGTTGCATTGATGATAAATAGCAAGGGATATTGTTAAAGAACCGATATCTAATCAACGATCAGCCGCAAGATGCATGTATTAACATTTCTGTGACTCTCGATGTACAACACAATAGGGTATGCAGTTGTGTTTCTCCTACCACATGTCTGCTAAAACTATGGTTGTCCGTCGGTGAAAAAAGGAAAAAATTAGTGTTAAAGTGAGCCTTCTGCGAGTCACCTTTGAATAAAATCTGGTACACTGAGTTCTTAAAATTCACGGGAACATAATTTGAATTCTCCAGACTTACAACACTGTTACTATACCTCGTGATCCGGGGCAAGCTTTTGCGAAGTTACATAAGAGACGCCTCGCAACAATAAACTTTTCTCAATGGAAAAGAAGGGCACAAAGGAACGAGTCCATTTCAGAGATGGTGGTTGCTATGCAAAAGCTTACCCCGAATCACGAGGTAAAGCAACAGCGTCTCTGGTCTGGGGATTTAACAATGCTACATTTGTGTACAATCGAATAACTCAGTGTACCAGATTTTATTCAAATTTAACTCGAACGCAGGCATCAGAACTACAGATGCTTCAAGTCGGTTTTTCTGAGATTTTTGAAAATACAACCCTACTTGAAAGTCAATGGAACAATTGTCTATTTTGAAAAAGAAAATTCTACGTAAAATCGATAACTGCCCAAAATATGGTATTTCTGAAACGTCGGCTGCCCATACAAATTGTAGGCAAAATGACAGTAGGGCCCTAGTTGTTTTCAAGACTGCACCTCATCAGGAAGTTATATGCTTGGACGAACGTACACGCGACCGGGTGCAGATGAAAGCACTGGTGCAGAAATAACTTATCTTGACATCATGATTGCCCTGTACGCTTTCAATGGCCCGCTCACACTACTTGCCACCAAGGCCCTTTGTTCACATGCGTGCTAAAAATTATGAATTATATGTAGGCCTAAGTTGAAAGGTCTATAAGCCGTTCATTCCATGGAAGAAAAGACTCAGCCTATGGCGCATTGATTGTCACTCTTTAAATCAGTCCACGTGTATAGGCTGTGGAGCACAAGGTGGAGGCTGAGGTTTGCTGGGTTCGATCTTGGTTCGATGACACCCACTGCATTATTAAAATACAAACACAATCAACCTTTAGCAAGTTAGGCCTAAATTTGAATGAAATACGGTTCACCGAGTTATACTATTGCATATAAACATAGCAATTTGAATTCCCAAGACTGAATATTGTTGATGATTCTCGTGATTCGGGGTAAGCTTTTGCACTATTAGCGATAACTAACTCTGGAATAGACTGGTTCATTTGTGTCCTTATCCATTGAAAACAGTGGATCGGTGGAATGTGTCTTCAATGTTGGCCTCAACCAGCAAAAGCTTGCCCCGATTCACGAGGTAAAGCAACGGCGTCTTTGGTAATATGGAGAATTCAAATTACGTTCACGTGAAAATCAAAGAACCGTTTGGTGTACCAGATTTTATTCACTATTTAACTCGCACCAGGCACAGGCCAATTAACGGTTTGCACAAGTTTGACTGCATTTTGTTTCTCATTTTGGCCCTTACTTCTTTTTCGGATCCACATTATGCTGCTCATTTCATCATCCAATCGCTCATTTTACGTTTTAATTTTTTTTATCACTCCCCATTTCGTTGCTCAATTAGTTGGGCCACTGCTCGTTGGTTTTTCATTTGCTCAGTATGCGGCTCGTTTGCTCAATTCTTTTGATAGAACTTGCACGAGTGATGAGAAATATCTTGAGGGATATTTACGTAAGGTTCCACCCAGAGTGTACACGTGGCTACCTCACATCTGAACAGCATTATGAATGACAAAATCTACAATAGAGCTATCTGGTGAGCAAAAGGTCTCGCTTGCCACTTTGCTCAGCAACTGCAGTTGCTCCTCGTTTGCAGCGACTTAGGACCGAATTTTCTGCCTCTCAAGACTGTTAGGAAAATATCTAACCTGTTAGATATTTTCTGCCCCGCGAAAAAAAAAACTCAGCGTTTGTGGACATTGCAAGCTGTGTGCCGAGTTATTTCAACAGACCAACCAATGAAAAACGCGCTCTTCGTCACGTGATGAATGGGGTTTAAAGGTCACGTAGCAAGCGTACTTATGTCCGAGAAATAAGAATCACACATTGAAAAGAGTAATCTTCACTTATCAAATGAACTCAGATACCTTTGAGCTTACTCGAGATAATCCAGCTCCTGAGAGCACGACATTTTGCTGTCAAAATGAAGAGCGAATCGCCACAAAAGCAAGAAAGCACTTCTACAGAAATGTTCAAATAAAAACGCCAGCAGGGCACTATACTACTGTCTTTCTGACACTCCATACAATTTAAGTCGAGCTTAGCACTTTCCGGTATGTTGCCTGGATAAAAATAGGCGCTAATCAAGGAAGGTGAGATGCTGAACACCCCCCTGCTCAAACCCCCCCCCCAAAAAAAAAGATAAGAATGAAGAGAATTTAAAAGTTTACTGATCAATTCCACTGTAAACAATGTAATTATGTAATGTTTCGTCATCGTTTCCGCCCGTTCGCAAAAAAAAAAAAAAATCTCCCACCGTATCCTTCCCAAGAAAAATTCCTGGATCCGCCCCTGCACGTTGGGCCTCCCGGATGGTTTCACAAAATTAATTATAACATGCCTGGCACACTTGCCCTAACTTCAGACAGAAAGCCTGGAATGAATTTAAACATATAGATAAGCAAACGCACATAAAACCATTTTCCCACAGCCCGTTTGCTCAGAAAGAGGCGCAAACGGGTGCTATTAAAACCAAAAACGGGGCAATTATCGTAATCCTCAGATGGTCCTGTCAACGACCGACCCAACACTTCCTTTTGCAATTAGGCCTACTTTATTTCATGCATTGATGTGGGCATGTTAAACGTCTGTAGCCTGCGAAAGAACGGTCTGCGTGTCGCAATAATTATTAAGTGGTTATAATTAGCCTCCTCCCCCCTTAATTTGTGTGAGATTTTATTTGTTGGCCCATTTGCTCCAGGCTTTGTCATGTTGTTTTCAGTAATTTCAGTGCACCTGTATTATTTTTGGTTTTCGTCTATAGTCCCCTTTCAATTGTCCTGTGAATGCCAAATCAATCAATGATAATATTCTTACACATGTAAAATCAAATTTCTGACCGCATACTCTATATATCTTCCCATAATAAGTAGCCCAGTAATCAAGATCAGACACCGTCAGACCAGCGTTCATGGCCAAAGTCTCCACCTACACCGGGCTATAAAAACGCAACAGGTATGAACCTACGGTGAACAAAAGATGACCCAAATGGTAGTTTCTCCGTTGTCCGTAGCAAGGGGAAAGACACTAATAAACAAAATCACCCAAAAAGTTACTGGAAGTGGGAAAATTCCCTTCCCGTCACTTACCACAGGACTGAATAGAATGAGGAACAGTCGGAGACACAACGTTAGATTATACCTTGAAACTCAGCCTAGCCATTCCCTCACAAGAATCTAAACAAATTCTGAGGGGCATGTATGTACTTACATGAAGAGCGAAGGCAGATGTTCTGGACTAGTCAGCCAATATTCCTCCTTTTGGTGTTTTTTACTAATTGATATAATGAATAATTACTCCTGTTTAGAAAACAAAGTAGATATTAACCATGACCAATGCACAAGAAGAGGCAATGGTCACCGCATGAGCTGGGGTTCGATGTAGAATAACACCATGTTTAATGCAGCCAATTCTGTCAGTGAATACAGAGAATACAGCGCATATTATAGGCCTGCTGACAGCCATAATATAAAACACTGACAGAACTGTAGACGCCGTGCGCATCAGTCATCGACGCGGTCAAAAGAAAGCGCTGTTGTGGGCCTATACTCATGAGACAAACTACTACGTAAACATCTTTCAGCTGCGATGTAGTTGGTGTTGCCATGCAGACAGCAGTTCATATTCCGGTCCACACCTGAAGCTGACCAACTTAAACACATCGACCTGGACAGACCTCTGCAAGGGGAAAAAAACGTTAGCACTAGCCTAACTTCATGTCCTCAACCCATCAGTAGTGTAGACTCTTCTGGAGTAACCTAGAAAAAAAACATAAGTACTGTTATATGTAGTACATGCATGGGTGGAAATCCCGGGGGATGGGGGTATATACCCCCCCACACCCACTTTTTGTGGTGGGGGTGGGCTATTGAATCATCCTAGGCCGTCAGCTCAGACTGAGAAACAGGCTGTAAAAAACGAGTTCCGTTCCAGCAACGCTGAGAATACTTTTTGAATGCATAAATGTGAGTTTCTGTACATCCCAAACGTTGTCAGAAGTTCTCCAAAAAGACCTGCAGTTTTTTAGTAATTCCATCTTAAATTTAGCCATAGTCTTGTATGCTATAATGCACAATACATGTACATGTATGCACTTCTAAGGCTTTGTTTGGGCACTTCCAAGTTTCAAATTAGAAAACTGCGATTAAATTTTAATTTTGTATTAAGATTATATGTGACAAATTAAGAAAAGACAGCACATGACTTTTGTCAGGTGACACCCGGCCACAGAAAGGCTTTTTATCTTTTTCTTAAAGTATTTTTTATCTGGTAGAC